AGGAAGGAAGGATGGAAGGAGAGAGAGGAAGGGAGGGAAAAGAAATAGATATGTTCAATGATGGCAGGATTAAATATCCTTAAAATAGCAATAGTAAACTATAAGTTCAGAGCAAGTGTCATCAAAATCCTCGTGGGGTTTTCAAGGAACTTGAGCCTCTGATTCCAAAATTTATATGGGAAGGCAAAATCTCAAGAAAAGCAAAAAAGAGTATAGTGGGAGATTTGCCCTCCCAGATACCAAAATTTATTATAATGCAGTATTAGGATAGTATGGCATTGGAGGAAGGATCTATAGATGGCTTGATGGAAAGAAATAGAGTCCAGAAACAGACACATGAATATATGGAGCTTGATGTGGCATTGCAGCTCTCTTCTTACAACAGTATTAAGAGGTGTGACCTTTGGGAGGTGATTAAGTCACAAGGTCTTTGCCCTTATGAATGGTATTAGCAGCTTTATAAAAGAATTCGAGGTTAAAGGGATTTGCTCTTTTGTCCTTCCTTCCCTTCTATCATATGAGCATGCAGTGTTCCTTTTCTCCAGAGGATGCAGCAACAAGATGCCATCTTGGAAGTAGAGTGTCACCAGACGCCAAATTCTGCTGGTATCTTGATCTTAGACTTCGCAGTCTCCAGGACTGTGAGAAATTTATATTGTTTATAATTTACAAACAATTTGTATTGTTTCAGGTACTTTGTTATAGCAGCACAAACAGACTAAGTGAGATACTCAATTTCATTTGCTTATTCTTTTACATTTTCACCATTTTTAAGTACAGGCATGCTTTGGAGATATTGTAGGTTCAGTTCCAGACTGCCACAATAAAGCAAATAGTGCAATAAAGGGAAGTCACACAGATGTTTTGTTTTCTCAGTGCATATAAAAGTTATGTTTATACTATACCGTAGTCTATTATGCTTATACTATACTGTAGTCTATTAAGTGTGCAACAGCATTATGTCTAACAACTGTGCGTACTTTAATTTTAAAATATTTTATTGCTAAAAAATGCTAACAATTATCTAAGCCTTAAGCAACTTGTCATCTTTTTGCTGGTGGAGGGTTTCGCCTCAGCGATATTGATGGCTGCTTACTGATCAAGGTGCTGATTACTGAAGGTGAGGTGACTGTGGCAACTTTCTTAAAATAAGATGATGATGCTTACCACATCAACTGACTCTTCTTTCATGAAAGATTTCTCTATATCATGCGATGCTGTTTGATAGCATTCTACCCACAGTAGAACATCTTTCAAAATTGGAGTCCATCCTCTTAAACCTTGCCACTGTTTTATCAACCAAGTTCTATGGGATATTCTAAATCCTTTATTGTCATTTTAACACTGTTCACAGCATCTTAGATTAGGTCTCGAGAAACTACTTTCTTTGGTTGTAAGAAGCAACTCTTCGTCTGTTTAAGTTTTATCATGAGGTTGCAGCAATTCAGTCACAACTTCAGGCTCCACTTCTAGATCTTTTGCTATGTCCACCATATCTGCTGTATCTTCCTCCACTGAAGTCTTCAACCCCTCAAAGTCATTCATGATGGTTGGAATCCGCTTCTTCCAAACTCCTGTTAATGTCAATATTTTGTCCTCCTCCCATGAACCACAAATGTTCTTAGTAGCATCTAGAATAATGAATCCTTTCCATACGATTTTCAGTTTACTTTGCCCAAATACATCAGAGGAATCCCTATGTATGTCAGCTATAGCCTTGTGAAATGAATTTATTAAAGAAAAAGACTTAAAAGTTGAAATTCCTCCTTGATCCATGGGCTGCAGAATGGATGTTGTGTTAGCAGGCATGGAAACATGAATCTTCTTGTACTTCTCCATCAGAGCTCTTGGGTGACCAGGTGCATTGTCTATGAGCAGTAATATTTTGAAAGGAATCTTTTTTTTCTGATAAGCAGGTCTCAACAGTGGGCTTAAAATATTCAGTAAACCATGATATAAACAGATGTGCCGTCGTCCAGGCTTTGCTATTCCATTTGTAGAGCACAGGCAGAGTAGATTAAATCTTAAAGGTTTTGGAATTTTCAGAATGGTAAATGAGCATTTACTTGAACTTAAAGCCTGCATGCCACCTGCATTAGCCCCTAACAACAGAGTCAGCCTGTCCTTTGATGCTTTGAAGCCAGGCATCTGCTTCTCCTCTCTGCCTATGAAAGTCATAGATGGCATCTTTTTCCAACAGAAGGCTATTTCATTTACATTAAAAATCTGTTGTTTGGTGTAGCCACCCTCATCAGTTCTCTTAGCTAGATCTTCTGGATAATTTGCTGCAGCTCCTACATCAGCACTTGCAGCCTCATAGTACACGTTTATATTATGAAAACCTCTTCTTTTATTAAACTTCATGAACCAACCTCTGCTAAAGTTTCAAACTTTTGCTCTGCAGTTCCCTCACCTCTCTCAGCCTTCACAGAATTGAAGAGAGTTAGGGCTTTGCTCTGGATTAGGCTTTGGTCTAAAGGAATCTTGTAGCTGGTTTGGTCTTCTACCCACACCACTAAAACTTTCTCCATAGCAGCAATAAGGCTGTTTTGCTTTCCTATCATTTGTGTGTTCACCAGACTAGTACTTTAATTTCCTTCAAGAACTTTTCCTTTGCATTAATAACTTGGCTAAGCATTTGACACCAGAGATCTAGCTTTGGGCCTATCTTGGGTTTCCATTATGCATGCCTTCCTCAATAATCTTATCACTTCCAGCTTTTGATTTAAAGTGAGAGATGTGCAACTTTTCCTTTCACTTAAACACTTAGAAGCCATTGTAGAGTTATTAATTGGCCTAATTTCAACATTGTTGTGTCTCAGGAAATAGGAAGGCCTGAAGAGAGGGAGAAAGATGGGAGAACAGCCTGTTAGAGGGGCAGTCAGAAAATACACAACATTTATCTATCAAGTTCACTGTCTTCTCTGGGCATGGTTCCTGGTGCCCCAAAACAATTATAATCATAACATCAAAGATCACTGATCACAGATCACCATAGCAGGTATAATAATAATGAAAAAGTTTAAAATATTATGAGAATTACCAAAATGTGACAGAGACACAAGATGAGCACAAGTTGTTGGAAAAATGGCACTGATAGACTTGCTTGAGGCAGGGTTGCCACAAATCTTCAATTTGTGAAAAACACAGTATCTGTGAAGTACAGCGAAGCAAACCACAATAAAATAAGGTATGCCTGTATATAGTTCAGTAGTGTTAAGTTTGGTTGTGCAATAGATCTCCAGAACTTTTTCATATTGCAAAACTGAAACTCTACACCCATTAAACAACAATTATCCATTTCCCACATTCCCCAATCCCTGGTAACCACTATTTCACTTTCTGTTTTTATGACTTGGACTATTTTAGATACTTCATGTTATAAGCTGAATTATGTCCCTCCAAAATACTTATGTTGAACCCCTAACTCCCAGTACCTTAGAATGTGACTGTATTTGAAGAGAGGACCTTTAAAGAGGTAATTAAGGTTAAATGAGTTCATATGGGTGGGCCCTAATTTAATCTGACAATGTCTATACTCTGGTTTCTCTTCAGATCATATAAATCTTTTGACTTTTAATCTGACAGTGTCCTTATAAAATGAGGAAATTTGGACACAAACAAGACAAGAGACATCAGGGATGTGTACCCTCACAAGAAAGGCCATGTGAGGATGCAGTGAAAAGGCAGCCAACCTACAAACCAAGAAGAGAGGCCTCGGGAAAAAGCAAATATGTGAACACATTGATCTTGGACCTCCAAGATCCATAACTGTTGAGGTTCCATAACTGAGAAAATAAATTTCTGATGTTTAAGTCACCCGTTTTGTGGTATTTTGTTATTACAGTCCTAGCAAACTGCAAATGGAATCATACAATATTTATCTATTTTATGACTGGCTTATTTCACTCAGCGTAATATCCTCAAGGTTCAACCATGTTGTAGCATGTGACAGGATTTCCTCCCTCTCTAAGGCTGAATAATACTCCATTGTATGTATATGCCACATATGTTTATCCATTTGTCCACTTACGGACATTTGGGTTGTTTGTTCCTAGTGCCTATTATGAATAATGCTATGAACATGAGTGTGCAAATATCTCTTTCAGATCCTGCTTTCAATTCTTTGGATATATATAGCCAAAAGTGATCACACGGTAGTATTTTTAGTTTTTGAAGAACTGCCATACTGTTTTCCAGCTGCACCATTTTATAATCCCACCAACAGTGTACAGTGTTCCAATTTCTCCACATCCTCACCAACACATGTTATTTTCTGGTTTTTTGATAGTAGTCATCATAATGGGTTTGAGATGAATCTCAATATGGTTCTGATTTGCATTTCTCCAATGATCATTTACTATTTTAGAAAATGCAGACTAAGACCTCTCTGAGATACTATTTACACTTACCAGATAGGACAAATTAATCCCAAGGGATGGTGAGGACAGAAATTAAAAAAAAAAAGAAAAAAACTACACACTGCTGATGGGTATGTACATTATTTTTATTTATTTACTTTTGTTTTGAGACAGAGTCTTGCTTTGTTTCCCAGGCTAGAGTGAGTGCCGTGGTGTCAGCCTAGCTCACAGCAACCTCAAACTCTTGGGCTCCAGCGATCCTCTTGCCTCAGCCTCCCGAGTAGCTGGGACTATAGGCATGCGCCCCCATGCCCAGCTGATTTTTTCTATGTATTTTTAGTTGTCCAGCTAATTTCTTTCTATTTTTAGTAGAGACAGGGCCTCGCTCTTGCTCAGGCTGGTCTCAAACTCCTGAGCTCAAATGATCCACCAGCCTCGGCCTCCCAGAGTGCTAGGATTACAGTTGTGAGCCACCACGCCCCCGGCAGGTATGTACATTATTAACAATCTCTTTGAAAAACAGTTTGGCATTACCTTGTAAAGTGAACATTCACATTCCCTATTACTCAGCAAGGTAGTTCATTCCTGCAGTGTTTTTCAAACCTTAGGTTACCACTTATTAGTGAATTCTGTAATCCATTTACTGAGAGTCACAATTAGCATTTTTTTAAACATTGGAGAGACAAATATTGTTTTACTATTTTGTGAAATTTTTGTTTTCTACAGATGAGTATATCTACCAGCTGACGATACCAATTGTATTTCTTATACTATGGGTAGTGGTCGTAAAGTTTGAAAGCCTCATACTAAATTCTTGTACATGTGCGCTGGGAGAACGTATAAGAATGTTCATAGCGCTAATGTTTATAATAAAAAATTGTAAACAATCCAAATGTCCAGTAGAATTGTAAATTTGTGGTATATTAATACAATGCAACATTATAAAGCAATGACAATGAATGTCTCACAAATACTTCCTAAGTGAAAAAAAGATTACGAAGACTGACATTTGTATAAAGCTCAAAAACAAGTAAAACTGAACAATATATTGTTTAGGGATACACACACGGGAAGGAAATAGTAAGTACAATTAGTAAATAAAGAATAATAGATAAAAATTGGGAATACATTTGGCAAGTGGATGAAATGGGAAAGATAGACAAAATCATATAGTGTTCTAATCCTTAGGTGAGTTCATGGATGTTCATTTTATTATGCACCATAACTTCAATTTATACTAAACATATTAAGTACATATGATTACAAAATTCACATTATTTATAAAAATGCTCGTATTTATAAAAGTGCTCCAAAAAGTGTACATCCTTTTTGGCACAGCAGTGAGTCAATTCTCCCAAACAAAAAATGGATTTCCTGAAAAACAGGTTAAGACAACAGGGGGGAAATGCTTGTCAGCATGCCAAAGGTCAGCAAGTATAATCTTATGCAAGTAACATGTATGTATACCTTCTTTCAAACAGTTTCTTGAGACAGGGATGGGGTGAGGAATGATCAGAAACAACTACATCACTACCTTAAGCATGAAGATGAATTGCGTGCTTTTCTAGGGTTCCTTAGTTACACACACACAAAAATTACAGCTCAGGAAACTTCTTAGAGATGTGTGTGCCCAGCGTATCCGCACCTCAAGCATGTCCCGTACAATATTGATTTACAGACAGTTCCTCTAGTCACTCCTGAGCTAATAACTTACTACGGAAAGTAATTTATCAGAGCCATCCCTCTCAATTATTGTTACTTTGGAATTGAAATCAACTTTCATGGCTTTCCTGATTTTCTTTAAATTATATTGGGGCAGTGTATCCAAACTTGTAATTAAATGGAGAGAAACTCGCTCACTTCTGAGACAAGAAACAACAACAACAACAAAAAAGCAATTTCAGGGGAAAGTGAAGAGGCACAGTAAAAAAAAGGAAAAGAAATCCGCGAGGGGAAAAGGATGTGGAAGCTGAAAACACGGACAAACTCCACACTGAGACTTCCAAAAGAGTATGCAAGATCGGAGCAAAACTTTCAAGGGCTCTTTTTCAGTGTAGTAACAGTAAGGCCGTTCCGTTGGAAAGTCCACGGCTATAAAAAAGACAATACGCAGAGTCGCTCAGCGGTACCACAGCAAAGATGGCGGTGGGACGAAGCCCCTTCTCCTCCCGCCGCCAAAGGCTCTAGCCTCGCATTTCCCACAAACCCTTCCGCGCGGCCCCGCTCACCGAAACCCGCCCGGCCAGTGTCCGGCCACTGCGCACGCGCGGACGACGTCACGTGTGCTGCCAGGGCTAGACGGAGCTGGCAGGAGGGGCTTTGCCAGCTTCCGCCGCCGCGTCGCTTCGGGGCTCGGGCGGCGGGTTCGCGCTGCCTCCGCCGCCGCGGGGCAGCCGGAGGGCGTGGAGTCGAGCGAGGGGCGCGCGACGGCGCGGCCATGGGACTGCGCCGGACCCGGTGACAGCGGGGAGCCGAGCGACCCGGGCCCTGAGCGCATCTCCTCTGGGGGGCCTCGCCCTCCTGCTCGCGGGGCCGGGGCTCCTGCTGCCGTTGCTGGCGCTGCTGCTGGCGGTGGCGGTGGCCAGGATCATGTCGGGCCGCCGCTGCGCCGGTGGGGGCGCGGCGTGCGCGAGCGCGATGGCCGAGGCTGTGGAGCCGGCCGCCCGAGAGCTGTTCGAGGCGTGCCGCAACGGGGACGTGGAGCGAGTCAAGAGGCTGGTGACGCCCGAGAAGGTGAACAGCCGCGACACGGCGGGCAGGAAATCCACCCCGCTCCACTTCGCGGCAGGTAACCGGGGCCGGCGCCGCTTTTCCTTGCTCCAGACCCCACCTGCTTACCCGGGCCTCGCAGGCCCGAGACCAAGCAGTACTCCTTTGCCCCCGACCTTTCCCCCCAGGACTCTGGTCCTGGAGATCTCGCCTTCTGAGAGTAGAGATTGAGGAGATTATAGGTGGGGTGAGCGTGCCGCGCTCATTGCAAGTAGTTTTGTGGGGTTTGGTTGGGTTTTCTGGCTTTGTTATGTTTTACAGTATCAACAATACCTGTATCAACTTCCGGTCTTACTACCCTAAAAGGCCCCTACACCCAAGAAAGAGTGATTTGAAAGGCCAGTTATCTCCAAAATCTATCGTCCTTGCAAGTTCCATTCTAACTCTTACCAGTTCTCGAGTTAACGTCTTAAAGGCCTTTGTAAAATGCAAGGGTGTAGTTTGGGAGGGGTAGTTAATTGTCCGTTGACACATTAGTGTTAATTGGTTTATCAGAGTAGCCAATCATTAGCACGTTTCTGGAGAGACTGGAACTGGAAATTGGCAGGTTTGGGACAACTGAGAGCTGACTTAGGCTGGGTGCAGGAAGTTTTTGCCCCCCACACACAAGTTGGAGTGGAAAGTAGTAGGATGAGTGAGAAGGTGGTACAAGTCCTTTAGCTTGGATGTAGAATTTAAGTTGGCACTAACCTTACCTCATTCTGAGATTTAGGTCGTTTGAATTACTGTCTTTTATATGTATTAGGTTCACTTTATGATATAAGCATATTAAGTTTAGTTGAATAATTGAAAAGTACTAGAGATGGGACACAGCTTATTTCCATAAATCATTTATGCTTTTCACTTAGAGGAAAGATTATCTGTAACCTCAAGTGAGCCATGTGTGATTGAAAATGTGAGTAAATCCTCACCTCTGATAATCCTGGTTGTTTATTTAATGATTGTTTAAAAAAAAAAAAGAAAGGGCTATGTTTTAAAGTATCCCTATTCTTTTGGGGCAGGAGTGATGATCAGAGAAAGAGCGTGAGAAAGATTTCCTTGTTCACAGACATTGTTTTTATACTTTCTACCAGTTGGAAATTTATTTGCTTTAACTTGTTCCCATTTTAAAATGTAAATACTACCAGAGGGTATGATTTCTTGATCAATTGCACCTTTGTTGGGTTCCCATTGGAAAGCCTTTTTAAAAGAGGAGGGTTTGAAGACAATTTGTGGGAGAACTAGAAACAATTTGTGAGCAGTAGAAAGAGAAGGGAGAAGAATGCTAAAGTCGAATCACACCTAGTTAGCCATTTTGCCTGAAATTTTGGTGGTCGTTGCCACCACTCTTCACCTAATTTCGATTGTCCTGTTTGACCATGTAGTCAACATTTAAACCACTGATTTGGCAAACTGTCACAACCAACTGATACATAATCCAAAGGGTAGTGTTACTTAGATTCTGTTCACTTGATCTGTGGGATAAAAATAACCAAGGAAGTTCTTAGTTGCTACCTTTCAAGAATTTGGTGTATTAATGAGTTCATATCTGAAAATAGTAATATTTAGAGGTGCAAGGTTATGCTATGAGCTTCTCACTGACCTTGTTCCTCCTCTACCATCTCACCTTCAGTTCTGTCCCAACATTTCAAAGCATTTTTAATATAGGTTTCGTTTTGTTTGTTTAGAGTGAAACGGAAATTTTAATATTTTGGGAAGCATCTCACCCACCACAACTTACCTAAATTATCATGTATAGGTTTTAAGATTAAGAATTTAAGGTATAAAAAGGGAGTGATAAAATAAAAATTACTAAGGGGCCTACATTCAACCAGAACTTTAAAAGTCCTGCATTTAAACCCAGGCAAATAAGAAACTTTTTTAAAAATTGGCTTTGTAAGTTTCATCTAAATTATTAATTAGATTAATCAGAGAGGACCTCTTTTTAAAGTTTTTTACTTCAGTGCACTCCCCTGCATTTTCTCTTAATATATAAAGAATACATTTTGTAATCTCTCTTGTAGGTAGTGAGTTAGCAGTCATATTAATACGCATATAAGTATATTGTTGAAAGTTCAACATAGATGGTGGTATTATATAACTGCTTGACCAAACAGTTTCTTGTGTTTGTACATTATAGAGGAAGCTATTGGACGGGTAGGGGTAGA